AAGAAATATAAATGATTTCCTAGTTGATTATTTTGTATTAGAAGTGTATTTGGCATTTTTGTTCTCAATTTGTTTCTGCTAATGGTGTAAAATTAGAAATATGGGTAAAAAAGAGGAATTAGTGAAGCAGTTAATTGTCAAAACTAGCCAAAAAACCCGAGGATTTAAACTATTTATCTGAGGAATAGCACTTGGCGTTTTAAATGTCATTTTTGATGGTTTATATAATGCTATCCGTTTATTATCTAAAAGAGGAGATTTGGGGGAGCAAGGAAAAAATATCCTTACTTTCTTAGAGGCTAATTTTCTCGTTTTGTTAATACTTTGGCTGATTTTGTGAATTGTAGCAATAATTTTATTAGTTTATGGCTTGTCAAAATGATTAAATGCTCGGAGCGAAATTGAAAAAATTAAATTAGAATTAGAAACATTGAAATAAGTCCTGTTAACTCAGCGGTAGAGTGTTTGCCTTTTAAGCAAAAAGTCGGAGGTTCGATCCCTCCACAGGACACCAAATAATTATTATTCGAGGCTTCAAGGTCATTATAATAATATAAAACTATAAAATATATAAGTAAAATTGTATTAAACAAAACGTAAAAGTAAAATTTTTAACAAAGTAATATGGCAACAACACTAATAAATGATTTAAATAAAAAGAGTGGGGAATTCTTAACTCAAGAAGAAAGAGAAGAAATCTCCAAAATAGTTAATGAAGTAAGAGAGATGGCTGATTATTATGATAAATTACATTTACACAATGTACACAATGACAATAAATATTTTAAATATTTTAACAGCCTAGAGGATTTATTGCGATATAAAAAATGAATAACTAGAATTAAAGAAATATTTACTAATGTCAAAAAAAGAATTAAAAAAAATGAAAAGGAGCAAGAAAAAGCAGAACTCTTGGAACAAAATATTTTAGAAGTAATGGAAAAGATAGTTTCGGGAGTTGATTATTGGGAAGATACCAAACAAATCGAGTTAAGGAAATATATCACAAGGATTTTGTTAGACTATTCTCTAAGAGAACAACAAAATAATCCGCAAATAGTCGCGAGCAAAAACCAGTTACAAAAAGAACTAAAAGAAAAAATAAAAGAAGGGACGAAGCCCTCGGAATTGAAAAAGATTAAACAAGATGGAGGAGAGCATAATATTTTAGATAATATTGATTGAGAAAAAGGGAAAATCTATTGAATGTTGGGACAACCAGAAGAACTACTAAGTAAAGTTGAAAACGGCAAGTTAAATGAAGTTATTATGACGATTATTGAAAAAGAGGAAGGGGACGCTGCCATTCATTTAAAAGCCATTGGAGTTAGTGAAATAAAGAATAAAGAAATAGCGAAAGAATTGAGGGAGGAAGTTGGAATTAAAACAGAAAGATTAGAAATTTCCACTAAACTAATTGAGAAAAAGAATCTACAAATTAGTGATCTACAAAAAGAAGTACAACAATTAAAGGCGAAGTTGGACACAGCCAATAAGATAATTGAAAAAGGAGATTTAGAAAAGAAAAAATTGAAAATCGAGAACACCGAATTAAAGACCATCATCGCTAAATCAGAACAAAAAAAGTTAAAAAAAGCAGAATTATATTTGACTAACAAATCTTTAAAAAGAAAACGAAATGATACTCAACAAAAAGGTGGAGAAAAAGAAATTAAACTTCAACAGCCACTCAAAGGAGAGGAGTCGCAAGGGTTAATTACCAGCATAGAGGTTTCTGCTAAACACAATAATTAAATGAGAGAACTAACTTATACACTTTTAGAATTAGAAAGAGAAAGTCGGAAGACTTGTGACTTTTGCTCTAATCTTTATGGTGAGGATAATAAGTCTGTTAATCAAATAGTAACTCGTATTAAAGCGAGTGGTAAATATGTTGCGGATGATGTAGTTTGTGAAGAATGCAAAGAAAAATTCGAAAATGATGAATTGTTAAAGTGTGAAAGGTGTGGAAGACTACAAACTAGACATGATTTTAGTTTTTGCACCGGAAAATATGTTTGTGATTGCGTTAGATATAATGAAGACTTAGAAGAAAAAGAACTTTCTGTTTCGCCTCCAAGGGAAAGTATGAATGCTTTCTATGAACGACAAATAAACAAACTGCGGGAAGAAAAAGCCGCGGCTGAACAAACCATAGAATTAGAAAGAGAAATCCATGAGGATTCTATGAAAGTTATGGATGACTGATACACCAAATACCAAAATGCCGATAAAGCAGAGTTACTAAGGAGAGTAATAGAGTTAGAAAAAGAAAGTAAACAGTTAAAAGAACAAAACAAAAAAATGGTTCCGGGGGAATTAGCCAAAGAAATTGAAGAATTAAAAAAGCAATTGGAACAACTAAGCTCTCAACAACAAATTACTCAAATTGAAGTCCCCCCCAAGGACAAGGGAACTAAAAATCTTTTCAAATTTGAGGGGGAAAAATAATTTAAATAAAGACAAAAATTTGCGAACGATTAAGTCAATAATGTCAGACTTAATAAATTTTGCGGGGTTGGCGCAATGGTAGACGCGCTAGGCTTAGGACCTAGATGTTAAGGGTTCGAGTCCCTTATCCCGTACCAATTTCAAAAATATGAACCCTGGGTCTAAATTAATAACTCAATAAAGTTAAAAATAAATTAAATTCATTTATGCTTTTAATAATACCTTGAAAATATATAAATAAATTTCTTTTCTTACCAAAAATTACTCCTAGAGAAATTGGGGAGAAACTAACTTATTACGGTCTAGAAACAAAATTAGTTGAGCACAAAAATAATCTGTAT